AGAATCCGGCTCAGGAGAGTGACAGGACTCATAACGGGACACTGTCACTTTAGGAAACATCTACATAAGCTAAAGCTTGTAGACAGTCCGGTCTGCCGAGGATGTGAATCGGCGGATGAAACTTCTCTGCATATCCTGGGCGAGTGCCCGGGATTTGCACGTAGCAGAATGGCGCTCCTTGGGAGACCCTATTTGGAACCCAAGGAGCTGAGAGAAGTGTCAGCAAGGAAGCTTTTGGACTTTGTAAAAAGGACAAATCTACTTGCTGAATAGGACTAGTAGTGGGACGCACAATAGGCCTAATTAGGCCGCAGTGCTATGGGACTTTTAAAGGACCAACCACTAGATGATGAAGATGAAGATGAGATCTCCGGTCTTAGTAAAAGGGGCAATTTGAAAAATATGCTTGTAAATGTTTGTGTGCTAGTGTAAAACTTTCAGGAAAACGTCATTTTTGCCAAATTGGGGAAGTTTAGCAACTAAAAGTGAGCGAAAGGTAGAAAAATCCCGATATCTCGAACAGTGAATTTTTCTTCGTTGAAAAAGGGTGTTTTTTCGAAAACGGTTCTAAGGATTACGGTGGATTTTTTTTTCTGGCCTTTTTATGACTCCAGGAATCGAATGCCGAAAGAAAATCGATGGTGCTAAAACTTCGCATTTAAGTCATGTTCAAGGCCACCATATGGTTCCCTTACGTAAGATTTTTAATTTATCAAATAATCTGTGTAACATTTTCAACTCGTTTGCCAAGTCTTTAAGAGTGGGGATAAGTCCTAGGTTGAAAACTACAGGCCTATATCAATAATTTCAATTTTTTCCAAGGTCTTTGAAATAGCAATTTATGACCGCATCTACCTATCTGTGCGTTATTTAATTTCGCCTAATCACCATGGGTTCATAAGTGGCATGTCTACTACAACCAATCCTATTACCACAATATGTTGCCAAATGTTTTAGATATCAGAGGTCAGACACACGGATTTCTGGAAGGCTTTTGATAGAATTGATCATAGTGTTTTACTTTGCAAGTTGGCAAAAGATCGTGTTACTATTATTATGTTAAAGAATATTTCGTGCCACCCCTATTTAATTTTTTTATTTCGCAAATTTGGTTCGAAATTTTTTTCATCGCGGAAATTCCCATTCAAGTAATGATATGAGTCCTCCCACTCTTCCTGATACTTTCGGTTTTTTCAAAGAAACTTGAAACTCGCAGACACCCTTCACTTTTCAGAACAATATATTACTTCACAGATTAGATAGAGATTATTAAAATTCATGTCATGGGGATAGAAAAGTTCCTTATAGAAACGACCTTATACCCAATATTATTGTAATCCAGACTATTCATAAGGACACTCAAAATAGGGTTACAATGCCTCGTTACAAGATCCAAATTTAAATTTTCTGCCGCATAACCCAAGCCCTGGAGCGCTAATTTCCTAACCAAGCAGCTCTGGTCTGTCTGTACGTCTAGTATCATTTCTAATAAGTTCTCGATAAGAACGCCCTGTTCCTTGGCACCCCGTCTTAGAAGATAAGTAAAAAATGCTACGACAGCTACTCTTTGAGGCTCCAAGTCTGCCCTTATGTGCGGCCCAAGGCAGCCCACAAGCCAAGACAGTGACTGCGGATTTTCTATGGATATATTTTCAATGAGGGCCTGGACAATCTCTAAGAACAATGTTAAGTCTTCACAAGTGTCTATGTGGCTGTAAAACAGCAAGCAATTCGCCATCTTGTTGAATTCACACGAGACCAAGAACAATCTGAAAGTTTCCAGGGCTAATTTGGCGGGGTTCAATTTGTATGCGTCGCGATTGATAATGAAATTATATCTTTCCTTTTTCTCGCCACTGCCGCACAACGCAGAAGCAGATGTCCCTATATAGCATGCGAAACATATCAATAAGGTGGAAAATATTTCTGGAAATTGCTGAATGCAGATTTCCTTTAACTTTGTGTTTTTTAAGATTTCGTGCAGAGCGCATACTGCTTGAAGCGGAAGTAGATTGGCAACTCTTATGTTATTTCCTTGGTCTTCGTAAAGAGGAGTTGACTTTACGATTTTCTTCAGCTGATCCAGTAAGTCAACGGCGAGCGTATGATCTGTCGATAGGCAGGCCCAACAGTCACATACTGAACTGAAAAAATGTTAGAAGGTAAAACTTTTATATTAAAATGAGCAAAATTGCACAAGCCAATTTCTACAGCCACCAAAAACGAGTGGTACATATTTTGTTATGTTGTTATTAACATGTGTCGCCAATTCCAATTTTGTAATTAAAAAATTTGTTGCTCCACTACCATCTCGACATCGGAATCAATTGAAAAATGTGAAAAATGGAATTTGTTGCAATTCTTATAACAGTAACAATTTTTTAAAAACCATTTTGTACTATAGTCACCACAACAAAAATGCTACTAAATATAGTCATTTATTTTTTATTATTTTGTTTTTTGATCTTTTTCAATGAATTCCGATGTTATGAACATTTTGATATCAAAATTAAAGCAACATTTTTTTTTTAAACAATGTAGCACTATATTTCACAGTTTTAAAGGTATAAACAAATTCCTAACATATAGATGAAACGTTAATATAAGTTTTATGTATATTTTTCCACATGGAAATGACTTAAAATGCTTGAAATTGATCATTAATTATTTGTATTATCATTCTGAGAATAAATTTACAATTAGAAGGGAGAATCTGTGATTATATGGCTTTAAAGTAAAATTATCCCATTCATTTCTAAAATTTCTTTTGGGATAAAAACCTTGGAATAATGAAAAATTTCTAGTTTCTGGCATATATACAAAATGAAAATTTGTATTTTGCCTTAAAACGATTCCAGATCCACTTTATTCGTATGAGAAAATTCATTAATAATTAATTATGCATTTTAGAATTTAAGGAAGCCACTGAGATTATCTTACTTTAAAAACAAATGAATTTATTGAACATATTTAAAACTTCCTTTATGATTAAGAATGCTTTAAATTATTGAATACATATGTACAATTTTTACCTTGTACGTAGTAATACTCGTAATTATTAATAACAGAAGAAATGAAAAAAGTCAAATATTATAGCATCTGATAGTCCCAAAGAGCAACAAAATATGGCGCAAGGTCTGGAGAACGCAGGAATACGAGGTACACCAAACGAACTATTTAGAGATTACTTGTCAAACAGAGGGCAAGTAGTAAAAATTAATATCGTGCATAGTACATAAAAAATTGTTAGTTGTGGCCTATCCCAAGGGAATGTGCTGGGTTCAACTCTATTTACAATATACAGGGTGATTTCACTTTAAATACGGTAACTGCAGGATTCATTGCCAAAAAATAAGTAGAATTTGCTGTACGAACTTTTTCCGAAAGAATATGCCACTGGCGGTTTTTTGTAGAAATAATTTTATTTCTGGAAAAAATATAAAACTAAATAAGAAAATAACATTAGCAAATGGGTCGGGTAAGTAATTAAGTAACGAGTCCTACAACAATTGTTCAAAACGAAATCCTTCCGCATCGATACTTTAATGGATCTATTTATTTTTTTTGTCTCGTTTATTTGAATGCTCTACCTACGACATTATATGAATATACATATAATTGTATTATTAGTGTTATGTAGTCAAAATAAATAATTATTAAAAAAAAAATAATTCATTCTTTTGATTCTTACCCGTCAAACGGCAGAGGCTGGGCCAGCAATATACTGCACACAGTTTTGGAATGATGCGTGGCCAAATTGAGAACTCCCCTTAAAGCGTAGGATCTTGTTCTGGGACACTTTATGGCATCTAACTGCTTCAGTAGTCTTCCTAAAATATGGGCAACGTGGCTTTGTAGTTCACCTCCTTTATTTTTCAAAGTCACGTTTAGGACTAAACTGCTGCCGCTCGAACTGGACGATTCACAATCTACCAGAGCATCTAAAAGACCCTCTACGAAGTGGATCAGTTGGAAGGAAGGCATGTTCAGGCAAATTATATGTGCCAAGTCGGAAGTGAGGTTATAGAGAAGCTTGGGCTCATCGGACTCTATTTGCTGTTGGACGTGCTGCAACGAGTTGCCAAGAACTTTGTCGTGGTCGCGCATGTGACCCTCATAACGTGCTGCTATGCAAAGGACCAAGCATAGACAGTCGACGGCCACCTACGGTACAAGTACATGTACAGACGTTTTTAGATAACTTTCTTCAAAAAGGACAGTTGTACACCAAAGGACCCCGCACAAATCTTATGGAAATTGGGTCCCGGTCAAATTCGCTGAATTTTTGATATGTGATAGAGTTCATCATACTGGTCAATTGTCTCAATGGNTAATTTAACACAACATAATGTAAAACTATAAGTGGTCTAACTGCTCCAGATGTATATATTCGCACGCGATAAACTTTCGCGCACGGCACGGTAGCTACGTTCAGACGTATTGCGCAGCGAAAGGGTTAAATGTCAAATATATGTTTCTAATTTTAACTACTATATTAAAAATATACAGTCTTCAATTTCTAAAAATCCACATCAATTTTGGTCATACATACAGTCTACAAAGCATACAGTTAGAATACTTGGTGTAACCCCATAGCCAATATTATAGTACACCAAGAGACAGTGAATGAAGTTTCTGAATATGATTTTAACGCTTTAAAATTTTTTTCAAATAAAGTGTCACGGTGGGCTTGAACATGACTTAAATGCGAAGTTTTAGCACCACCGATTTTCTTTCGGCATTCGATTCCTGGAGTCATAAGGCCAGAAAAAAAAATTCACCGTAATCCTTAGAGCCGTTTTCGAAAAAACACCCTTTTTCAACCAAGAAAAATTCACTGTTCGAGATATCGGGATTTTTCTACCTTTCGTTCACTTTTAGTTGCCAAACTTCCCCAATTTGGCAAAAATTACGTTTTCCTGAAAGTTTTACACTAGCACACAAACGTTTACAAGAATATTTTTCAAATTGCCCCTTTTACTAAGACCGGAGATACTCATTGACGATTCTCAGAAATAGGTTAAAATAGAAAAAATTTGAAAGTATGATTTTTCATTTGAGTGAGTTTTGCGGTAGTATGTCAACAAGCGAGCATCATATCATTTATTTCCATCCTTGTTTGATTTGCGAGGTCATTGAACTATCGCCAACCCCCACCCCCGATTGTTTGTTTACGTTTTGTGATACTCCAGATCGAATGATCAATATTATTCGTGAAATTAGTTAAAACTCCAGATAGTCTTCGACCCTTTGACTGTGAAGTTGTAATTGTTCTCTTCGAGTATCTCCGGTCTTCATCTTCATCTTCATATAAAGAAATTAGAAAAGCGAAGAGAGACTCATGGAGGAAGTTCTGTGAGGATATTGATAGTGTCCCACAGTGTGCTAAACTCTAGAGACTTCTCTCTAAGAACGGACATACAAAACTCGGGTATCTCAAAGCACCGAGTGGGGAATATACCAAAACTGGAAGGGAGACATTGGAATTACTTCTAAATACTCACTTTCCAGGCTCCAGGTTATTAAATCATGGAGATGAANGTAATAAAGTCAAAAAATTATTTTTTGTTTATAACTTCAAGTTTTTTAGATAAGTGAATATAAATATGATATAAAATTATGTAGTCATCAGCTTACAGCTGTCAACAAGCTGTCAACTAACTGTCAAAATGCAATAATAGAGCAAGCAACTTATTTTTTGTGCTTAACTTTGTGGATAAAAAATCAAACATGATATAAGTTTATGACATCACTTTTGAACTCAGTGATCTAAACAACTTAAAGCTTTTTAAAAAAAGTAACTTTTTGACTGCGCATATACATAAATCCGTGGAGGATATTCGGAGCTTTAAAGCTCTGTACCGGCCAAACTATCCATTTTTGAGCTTTGTGGCCATTGAGAGAATTGACCAGTATGTTGAACTCTATCACATATCAAAAATTCAGCGAATTTGACCGAGACCCAATTTCCATAAGATTTGTGCGAGGTCCTTTGGACCAAAAAAAATTCCCTGATCCGTGTTTATCAGGAAAATTTGATTTTGAATGTTGATAAAATAAAATTAGTGACATTTTTAAGTTTATCTGATGAAGTACGATTATTTAAAAAATTATAGTGCTTGTCTAAATACCAAATAAGGGCAACCTTCATATAGTGGTGGATTTTTAATTTGTAAAAAAAATAAAAAAATTCCAAGTTATGGGGTTAAGTAGGTAAATGAAAACTTTTACATCAAAGAAAAATAGAACAAATTTTTACTTGGGTTTCCTATTTTGCTTTAGAAAAGGTAAAAAGTGAAATATCCGTGTAAACGTGTGTTTTGAAACCCTATAATAAGTAATAATAATACTTAATAATAATAATAATCTTTATTTTCTATAGATTTACCTTGACAATGTCCAGGGAGAGTTCATTGCTTAAAGATACAGGGCCTTAAAAAAGTATGACATTGAAATTGAATTGAAATATTAAAAAATTTTAAAAAATTATGTTTTTTTTTTCTTTCCGGGCTATACAGAATGTAACTAATAGAATATTGTTAACCCTGATCTTATTGTTTTAATAATTAAGGAAATAAATTTACCGTTTCAAACAAAATTACCAATCATGTGACTTGTCATCATTAGAGAAGGATCTGTATTTGTGTGATATTATGAAAAAAAAAAAACATGCATATGAATAAAGAAAGATGAGAATTGGTAACAATTCCCAACTGGGTACGCGCTATATTAAAACTGAGGGTGAAAAAAAAAAAAAAAAAAAAAATCAGTTTTCATGACTGTGAATTTGGAAAAACAAACTAATGACATGTGTTTCTATAGGTCAAATGCAGCCTCGGTATAAATACAACTTAGAAATAACAATTCAAAGTTATGTACATCTTGTAGTTTGCAAACTCACCTTCCTTATATTTTTGTTAGGATCTGTGCACCTTGGGACAATTTTTGATAACAAGAATCCAGTTTGACCGAAACTACTGGGAGTATCGTATGCAAATTTCATGTTATCCAAGTACGTCTGCAAAACTAGCCTTAAGGTCACTGCAGCTGGTAACCTCTGTTCTGCTTTCTTTTTTCCTAAAAACGGCTCAAGAAGAGTAACGATTTCGTCCAGCGTAGCGGGCGAGAGATTTTGCAACAATAACTCTTGCACGAATTGGTTTAGTTCAGAGAAACTTTTGGTCACAAATGGAACCAGCTTCAATTCTCCATAGTAATTATCCCCATTTTCAGGATTGATCTTACAGTAAATAGCAGAAGCGTTGTAGACGTTGTCAAAAAACAATTTGAGGAGCACTATTCTTGCATCCGATTCAATTTGAACGGGTAAACGTATCAGAGCGGTAACAGCGGGTATGATCAAAGGAAACAGTTCGATATACTCGGGTCCACTGTGCAGATGCATTTCTGAAGAAACCGTTTCTATTACTTTGTCTCTACCATTTAGTCTGATGTGCAACAAATTTCTATTTGGGTGCATCGCGTCTGCAATGCTGTGTATGGCTTTTAAACATACTCTTCGGGTAGCGAAATCTTTGGCACCCGTCAACTCGCTCACTACAAAACTAAGTATTTCCGATTCGATGATTCTCAAAAGTTTGTCAGAAGGCGCTTCATTGCATATCTCCCCATAACTACGTATTACCGCATAACGTAACCTCTCTATGCCCAAGTCGTGTTTTTGATCTTTCATGAACGAAAAATGTAGGAATTTCGATGATTTTCTTGTAAGTATATCTTTCCTAATTGAGAATAATTTATCCAAGACTAATTGTAGGTGAGCACGAGAGCATATTCCAACGGCCTCGGCACAGGTGTGCAGCTCTGAATAGTCGGTCAATTTAACACTAACCAAGATGTTGTCGAGGGTTTGCAATACAGTGTCTTTATCTTTAATATAGCATAATATTATCGCTAGACATTTTAACAGGAACTGTTTCTCCGTCTGTTTAATCACCGAGTCATTATTGCCATTCACCGTATGCCTAAAACAAATGCTTAATGTTAAATATGATGAGAAATGTATATATTTATTTATTTATTTATTCACAGTCAAAATACACGTCCAACAGGACATGTCCATTATTAAAATATAATAAAATAAATTAAAAGTAAAAAAACCTTTTTAAAAAACAAGCTTTTATTTAAAATGCACTAAAAAGAAAAAAATAATAATCTTTAACTTTGTAACTTTTACTATCGACTTATAATGTCAGTACACACACAATTTATATATTATAAAAGCTTGTCGCGAGATTTAAGTACTCGTATTTACATATAATAGCCTATAATTAACTATTTCATTCTTACTGCCATTCTGGTGCACTGGACACACTTTAGGTACCTAATTTTCAGGATTCGGGACAACAGGAAGTTTTTGGGGCAGCAAACGCAGAGGCATGGTCCCTTATCAAAAATGCCACTATAACATCAGGCCTTTTACAAGATATTTTTCATGTGTTTTATTTTAAATAAACCGTTTTTAACAAAAATTTATTTCATGAGAAGTTAAATAATACGTAGTAGTTTTTGCAGACGACTAGAAAAAATTACTTTTTATTGCTTTTTGTTTGGAGGCATTTAAAGTTATACATCACCGCCAAATTTCATATATTTATTACTAATCATTCCCAACGCATGATTTTGCAGGCTTTTTTTTTGAGCACTTGAGCCAAGCACCGAAGGAAACGACCGCTACACGAGCTGAAACACGACAAAGTGATTTTGCAGCTTGACAACGCTCGACCGCATGTCGCAAAACCGGTAAAAACCTATTTGGAAAGAGTCCTATCCCACCGGTCATATTCGCCAGACGCTGCCCGTTCTAATTATTATCCCTCGTTCCGATCAATGGTAAGTGGCCTGGCTAAGCAGCACGTCTATTCGTATGAATATGCTAAAAAATGGGTCAACTCTTGAATAGCCTGAAAGGACGTGTGGTAGAAAGACGGGTGAATGTAGTGGCTAGCAAAGGACGACGCTTCCAGGGGCAAGTTTTTTACAATTTTTTTTTTTAAATAAAGCATTAATTTTCACAAAAAAAAATAGCGGGAGCTTATTCAACAGCCCGGTATATGTCCGTGCCGCGGCCTTAAAATGAAAACTCTTATAATTACCCTAAAATTACTAAACCTTCTCAACGACCGACCGCTTTGGAATTGGAATAAAAACACACTTTGTTAGGCCTACCTACCTATTGTCACTGTACGTTTCGAGTTGTCCCTTCGCTTTGAAAACTAATATTTCGTTAAAGGACTCGTTCTTAACATTCTCCAGTAGAATGGTAACGAAATCAAATATCAAGTCTTGCCATTCCAACGGATTAAAGTTGTCATAATTTTGTTCTAAATACTTCAACAGCTGGGGTATTTTGGTGTCCCAAACTGTCTTATAACTGTCTACGTCACAGGGCCTTATGTTTTTCAAAAAGTTTATTATGTAGGTGCCTCTGAAACTAGGCAAGGGATTCGCTAATAGAGCTAAGCATCTCACGAATGCAGCTTCGCTGCTTTTGGTCTTTTCTTTTTTCGAGGCCAAATGTGTCAGACATCTCAGAAGTATTATAAGTGCATCGTCGAATGCGATACCTAGGAAGGACCGGATAAAGAGACCCCACAATATATCCTCCAGTTCTGGTACCGACGTACTCAGCATGTATAACGTGTTATCGGCAGATCTCTGGATGTCTTGCAATTCTTGGGCCTCCACGTCGCAATTCTTAGGCAACACTTGTCTGCAGCACATTTTCAGGATAAACTCTATGTATTTATCGGGTCCGTCGGGATTTACATCTGAAAATATTAAAAAATCGTTATGGGTTTCTTTTTAGCAGCAGTTTCGAACCAAATTGGCAGCTATCAAAAATATCTGACCAGTTGGATATCCAGGTGGCCAAATATTTGTGATGGTTTGAAAACGGTTCAAGACTGCCCTGTTGAAGCAAACCCTATTATTATTATTTGACGAATTTATAGAAATTCTGTTCCACCTTTGTCGAGCAAAATCTTCCTGCAGGAAAACGCTACTATGATTTTAAGTAAGGCCTTCTTAATTCTAATGTTGTGATCGTTCAACATGTCATTTAGGTGCCTTACGATATCCTTGCACCGCCTCTTTATAGCTTGCTCGCCAGAGTAAGAGATAAGATGCGTTATAACCAGCAATGCTTTGATCCTTTCCTTGTCGTTGTTATTCTTCATTTGCGTTATTAGGTGATCAATTGTGTTATCGGTAAAATGTAAGGCGAAGCACTCGTAACACCTCAACACCTCTGAATGACTTCTTAATAAGTCAGGTTGGGCGTAATCTGGGGAAACGCATACCAAATCAGCTAAAGCATTTAACATGCTGGGTAGAAATGGTTCCAGTAAGGTTCCGTTAACTGTCGCTGCCTTCTGTATCACCGCTCCTAAACATTTGGTAATGTTATAGGCGTCAATATTTCTTTTGTAAAGGCTCAGGACTACTTGAATGGCCCTTGGGGTTTGCAGTGTTACTTTTTCTACATTTAAAACACTAAATATTGCCGACAATGCATCCAGAACACTTTGGACAACTTTAGGTTCCCTAGAATGCAACCACGATGTAAACAAAACATCGTAAGCCATGCCAATTTCGACTGTATAGTTTTCTAATGTGATGGTGTTATCTGGTACCTGGTCGATGTTGAGTATATATTCAGATAAGGCATCACAAAAACTACCCAAGGCTATAAGAAAATACTGCAATTAAAAGACAGGTTTAAGTGTTTGGTCACATGCATGTATCTTACCGTATGAAAATGACTGTCTCAATATATCAGTCTTCAATCCTCCCAACAGTGGTAATATTAGGTTAAAAACATTTTTCAGATATGGCACTAAACCGTACGCGTTTGCTGTAGCTAAGGAACCAAGAGTGTGTGGTATCATATAATGAGGTATAACGCCAGCTTCAAATTTTTTCAGAAGGGCATCCACTACCTGTTGAATAATATAATATGAAATTCGCTTCTCTTTGGCTAGCTACTAAAATGAAAATCACAGTTCAGTATGTAAATTACTATTAAATAAATCAGGGACCAGAAAAGGCCCCTAGGGTTTATGGATGGATTCCAAATTTCCAGCCAATTCCAAGGTGATAACGGATAGCTCTTGGAGAACCTTTCACCTTTCATTTTTATAGATCTCATGAAATTTAACGATACCAATTTAATAGTGTAATTTTCCGACTTAACTTAATATTTCTATTAAAACTATTAAATACTCAGAACATAAATTAAAATCACTTCTACATGAGAATTACAAAAATACGTGACCACAAATCCATTTCATCGCCATAACTAATTTACACTAAATAAACACATTATTGTAAGTCCTCCTTTTAATAATCACAATCGAATAAACATGAAATTACCTGGATGTAATGTTTTTTCCCTAAAGCGACCAATATGCCTGAAGCAGGCATTTGGACGAGCGGCTCATGACCGATATTTTCCACCATCATTTGAAGACTAAAATCTATTGTAGTTATGATAGTGTCACCATCAATTTGTATGATATGATCGATACATACAGATTCCATTATTCTTAATATGCAAGCTAAGTGCTCCAAATTTGGTTTCGGACTCTTTACACAGAATTGGCAACATGAATATAACACCTGATTGGGATGCTTTTCCGACAGTTTTCTAACAGAATTGACTACAGTTTCTGATACAGATGAATTTGAGTCAGTAACTGCTTTAAGGAGCATGCCCACAGCCACTAAAAATAATGCTTTTTATGCAATGTAACAATAATTTATATGAATACCTTGCATTTGAGTCTCAGCATTGCCTCTTTCGTTATGAATCATTATATCTGCTCTATTTTCTAATTTGTAATATTAGAATATTTCCTTTTTCCAGGATTTTCACCAAAAATGATACAGATTCAGTGTATATATTTTATGCAATATGCATCATAGAGAGAAATAAATATTTTTTACTTTATTTTACTTTTATCTATGACATGCATCATAAAATGAGAGCAAATGACAACGACAAAGACAACCAACGACAACATAGATTGTTTGAGTTAATCTGAGGTCTGAGGTTCGACATTCGACGAAGAAGAAGATCTTGAATTTGAATAAGGTGTTTTGGCAGTGTAGGCCTAATCTGGGGTGTAGGCAGTTTAATACACATATTATGTATGTATCCAGGGTGTTTTCAAAACAAGTAGCACAAATGGTACCGGTGAATCTACAGCTAAAAAGAACATGTTTTATATAAAAATGATCTTAGTAAAATGTTCAGCCATTAGAAGATACAGCCTCTCAAAGTTTTCAAAAAAATATGGAAAAGCGGCTATAATTTGAAAACCAAAAAAGGTATACCTAATTGTCAAATTGTATACAAATTTTCTACTAACGCATGTGCAACTTCTCAACACTTTCGAAAATAAATTTCTGCCCCTTGGAGGCGATTGAAATAAGCATCTCCTTAGTTTGCTATAACTATTTTGTTTGACAAAAATTTAATATTCAAAAATATGTAGCAGATAGCCTCGTTTATTTTAAAATTTTTACCTCTCTCCTCTCACTTATTTGCTTTAAAACTTTATTAATAAAAAGCTGTCGTGATAATTTCTTATTAAATTAAGATATGACATATTATTTTGTAGCTTTATATCTTACCCACATCAATATATATTTGACGAATTCTTTCTATTAGCATTATTATTAATGATAGATATATTATTCCAGTTTACTTACTAAAAATTCAGTGTAATCTCATAATAATTATAATAAGTAAAATAAGTAACCACATTTTAATATAAATTATTAATAAGTAGTACACTATGAATAGGTATCTAACAATTAACGAAATACCTACGTATTTAATATTTATTTCCTTTAAAAGAAATATTGTTTTCTTTTCTCGACCTAAATAATTAAAACCAGTTCTCTTCAAGTAAGTTTTTCCACGAAATATCCAACAATCACATCTGCACTGTAAAATAAAAGAATGCGCGGCGCACGCGCATACCGCATACCTCTGTGCTCTTTGTCTTTGCTTTGCGAAATCAGTTAGTGCGTCGGTTATGTTCATAGAAAATGGAATTATTTTTTCTATGGTTAGTTAGTGCGTCGGTTCTGTTAACGGTCGCTCGCGATTTATTTCAAATTTGTGCCGAAAAATCCACTGTCTTTATTGAAATTCATATGTAAATTAGTGCACTAGTTGTAACAATTATAGTGAAACGTGTTTCGTGGAGTGTTATTGAATATTTTAGTGAACATGTGCATATTTTCAAATTTCGAAGCCAACAAGTTCACGGCGTTATGAGTACGAACGATATCAATCGATGTTTGCTGGTTGCCGTGCCATCGAATGTAAGTATCAACTTCTCATAACCACATTTTATTGTTTACAAACAAATATCAACTATTTACCTACAACATTGTTAAATATTTTCACACAACACTACTGCTAACAACTAGATGTCAGACAAAAATGAGGTTAACTTATTACTTACAGAAATATCTTGACATTATTAAACCTTTGTCAATATTTTATAAAATATTTAGTCACACAAATGTAGTGAACATTCATATAAATACCTATGTACCTATGTAGTCAGAACTGGGGAATAGAAAAAACTGTTTACGTTTTTTTTAATTTACTTAATTTCATATTTGATTTTGAGAAACCCAAATTTTTAAATTAAATAGATATAAAATGTAACTAAANCTGAGGATAACTTCTCAGGATGTATAGGATATCCTCGGATAGGTACACAATCACCTCAGGATGTACCAGGGATATCCAAATGGAACGTCCCGGGATTTGCTCGTAACGTCCTGAGGACATCCGCCTGGCTATCTGCAGGAGATTATCAGGTTATCAGTGATCAAATGAGGACGTCCTAGGATTTACTGTGTATGTCCTCAAGACATCAGCCGGGCTATTATCAGGTTAACAGTGGATCAAATGAGGACAACGTAGGCTTTACTGTTGATGTCCTCAGGACATTAGCTGGGCTATATACAGCACATTTTTAGTACTTATTGGGCTAATAAAAAAAATTACAGGGTGGTATTAAATATTTCTATAGATCAAATACGTACCTAATTTCCAAAACATTGCTTGCCATTTCAACTCCATCTAATATTTGTTATTAAAAAAAAATATTGACAAAAAAATGAAAAGGGAAATCTGATAATTTATCTATTCGGTTATAATACGAGATTTGATTTATTTGAATACCACTGGAATAAAAATTAACAATACAATATTTTGGATCTGTCGATTAGATTCGTCATAAATACGTAAAGGGTAGTTTTAAAATTCTCTTTTCATGAGATTTAAAGACATTTTACAGTTTTCTGCAAGAAATATTCCATCGTTGATACACGTATGTATTTTTTAAACATTTTACTCACCCACTTACTAAAATATGACGAGAAAATTCTGTAACATAGCCACCGGCAGATATTTTTCTGTTTAAGACAACAACTACTACAGACAAGACTACATACAAACTTTCAGAAACATCGCCAAATTATTTAGATATACACATCAACGGTTCATATTATTCATAAAACTGGTTTGAGGCATTTTTTTAAACTGGAACAAATAAGACCTAAAGTACTTCATGAGAATAAAATATAAACTTTAAGTAATAGCACTTATTTTTAAACTGAGTTCTAGAATAAAAAAATAAAATTGAACTGAATTTTTTTATTCATTGCACATTATAAATACAAACTTAAAAAGCAAATTACACATGTACTTATATATACAGGGTGAGTCAGAAAGAATGGGTCAACAGTAAACTGGAGATACTAGATACCAAAATATTATGTTTGAACTCATCATGCATTATACGAATCTCGCTGGTTTAAGAAATACAGGGTGTTTAAGATTTAAATTTTATTTTGAAATTTCTCAATAATTGGGAAAGTTTTAATAGCACAACTCTGAAAATTGGTACTATTGGGTTTTTTGGTGTGAGAATTATGAATTTGAAGCTTATTTTGACGTTGCTCCTAGAGGGCGCTAGTTCCGCCATATTATTTAGGTAAATCAAAACATATTTTTTTTATCTGTTGACCTATGCTNTAAAAATCGGTCGAAAATAATATATACAATGAAAATATAAGGTTGCGCCAAGAAAAAAAGTTGTGCTATTTGCAGAAAAAATTAAAAACTGCAAAAATACTCAAAAATGACGTGTTTTTTCTAACATTTTCCAACATAACTTCTTAAATATGCAGTTTACAGAAAAAACTATTACTGGTGAAATTGTTTGTAATGAAATTTGCTATAAGATATAATTGTTTTGATACCTGCGCATATCATATTTTTGTGGCTAAATAGCCAAAACAACGTAAGAAGGTAATGAAAATCGAGGTAATTTGGAAGGGTCAAACTGACAGGCAAGAAATTGTCCAATTTTACTATAAATGTAGATGTAAGTACTTTAAACGATTATAAAACGAAATTCCAAAACCCGATCCAAATCGGTCAGATAGTATTTGTATGAGACAATTTGTTACTAAATTTCAGCACGAAATGTCGTTATTTTTTTAAGCCAGTGCTGGGGTTAAAGTTAGGCATTTTAATTGGCGCTGATTTTTTTACACATACTTAGACCCCGTAACAATCATATAGAATCGTTAGAATGTCAATTTTCTTTTTTTGAATAATTTTTGGAGCGAATTTAAAAGTTACCAAAGTACTAAAAAACAGTTCTCGGAAAGACGCTTAACTTGAAAAAAAGAGCGTTCAAATCGGTCCTAAAGGTTCCGAGATATCGAGTGTCAAAGTCAACAAGCGTTAGCTGCAAAACTATGCATAATGTAACAACAACAAAATATGAATTTGGTAGTTTTATTAAGAACTTTTCGTATGTTCTTTTATAAATATTATCACACGTGTGCCTTTTTTATGAAAATTCAATGAATATCGACAAGCCGACCATTTGAGCCGCAAAACCGGTGGGAGGGGATGAATGATAGAAATTGAAATTGCGCGTTCGAAAAGAGCGTGCCCTCTTCGGCGTTCAATATCTCGGCTTCTACTGCTCCGATTTTGATGATTTTTTAAAAATCGATATATCATAATAAGAGGAATTCAATTATCAAGATTTCATTAAAATATTATAAAGCCCTATTAGCCTATTACGACTACTTAAAATTTCACACATTTCATTGTTATACTGTATATTCATGTAAATAATAATATCGATGGTAGATAATACATAGTCCATTGTTAATAGTTATTAGTTTTAATAATTCGTAATAATGTTTAAAACCTTGAAATTTTTATTTAATATGTAATGTATTTATTTGATATTTATAAAACGTATCATCGCATTATTATAGTATTCCCCTTTTTTACAGCATATTTGCTGTTTTCGCTCTCAAAATTTTCTTCTACAAGCTGTCATACGGTGACGGCTCAATAGAATNTGTAATGATTTTTTTTTAATTTAGAGGAAAATAGCTTTGAGATTAGATGTTCTACTAACCAAAAGACACCCTCCACTGCAATTCCTGTAACAATTACGCATTTTTTGTACTTACTTTCTCGATATACCTATAGATTTCAATTTTATTGACTTTTTTTAAACAAGTTGACAATTGAAAAACAAAATTCAACGTTAATAACCGAACCTATTTTATACAAAATTTGGTTCTGAACAATTTTTATATCATTACTTTTTTTTCTAAAACCATTAGTAGAAGAGCTACTCAAGGAAAAGTAAAAAACATGCATATTGGAATTTATTTTGCAATAACAACGACCTTCCAGATCTCCCTCGTATTAGAGGCTTTATGGTTATCTTAAGTATGTCATTGTCTATAAATTACAACAAAAAAAATTCTACCGCGATAATTTTTAAGATGCAAGCGCACCAAGCGGCGAAAGCAGTAAGCTCCGAGACAAGGTAATTTAGACGTTGCCGTTCGTATTTGTTTAAATGTTTACACATTCATTTGAATAACATATTTTGTCTTATTTGCCGTTA